TCCTCAGCCTTGATCTGCGCCAGGGTAGCAAGCTCGTCCCGGTACTCGCTAGGGAGATCGGACAGATCCATATCAGGGTTCTTCGCCTGAAGAGCAAAGATGGACCTGATCGTCCAATCCGCTGCCCTGTTCTCTATCTCCGCTTCCTGCTGTTGCATTTTCGCAGTTAGCGAGGCAATGCGACCTTGTGCAAAATAGAGCGCAGCCTCAAGCTCTGTTCGCTGCTTCTCAATAGCCTCCCACAAATTGGCCCTTTCCAGCTCAGCTTGCAAGGCTCGTTCGGAGGTATTCTACAACGCTTGATCCTTCTCACTAGCCTCCCTAGAGAGTCTGGCCACGGTCCGCTGGAGCTCCTTCATCTCCTCCCCGCATTTGTCTAGCTCGATCTTCTGAAAGTCCACTGTGTGGCGGGCAGCATCCCTTTCAGACATGTGCTGGTCTGCTTAAGCGATGGAAGAGTCTCTGTCTGCTCGTGCGGCCTCCAGCTCCTACATAAGCCGCGTATTCTCCTCCCGCAGCTTGATCAATTGCTCGGTAGAACCCAGCTGAGTCTTCTGCTGGGACATATGCAGGGAAAGCAAGGCCTGCACGATGAGTAAAGAGTTAAGTCTACTTCCCTAAAAAAAAGTGAACAAATGTCCTTGTCCGGGACAACTCGTTTAGCTGGCTAAAGAGTTGGAACGATTTGGACAACAAGTCGACTGAACTGGATGTTAGGAACTGCTCGAACGACTCCGCAAGCCCACATTCCAACAATGTTAGAACCACCTGCTACAAATGGTCCAGGGAGCTGGGCCATTGAGTCTAGCACAGGCATACCGACACCCTCGGCAGGAAGAGCCTGTCCCGCAGGCTCTTTGCCCGGCCTCCTACCAGGGACTACAGCTGCTGGTCGCGTCGATTGACCAATGGAAATGTCTGTCGTTCCTCTGAGTGGCCCTCCCGAGCTGAACATTTGGTAAGGCTGCAACCTCTCGATCTGAATGCCCAAGCCTTCCTCTTCGAACTCTGACTCCTCAACCAGAATTTGCCGCCTCTTCTTAGACCTCTAGGCCATAGTTTTCTGCTTCAAGCGAGCAGCCGAAGGTGAGGGAACCTCTGCAGGTCGGGTCGGAGCACCCGCCTATGTCCCTCTGATGGGGGGATCACTGGGAGCAGCTCTAGTTGGCCTGGTGGTATGCCTCTGGGGAAAAGAGAATTATTTTGGTCGTGACGACTTGGACACCCAGGGAGGCATGGTCGCTGCATGTGAACACTGTTAGTAAAACAGTTCGCTACAAGAATTAGAAAGGACAAGTCAGGAAACTTACTCGGTAGGGTCTTTAAGGCTACGCCCGCGTTGAAGAAGCCGTACCTTCGCAAGTTCTCGGTTGTCACAAATAACCTCGCGTCTCGACTTTTCGCGGGCAGAAAATCGAATGTTGTGATTCTGTCCGGGTCCGTGAACAGGTTCAAGCTGGTCATTCTATTAACTGTCAGGAAAAACAAACAACTCGTTAGCGAAGAACAAAAATCGAGAATTTATAAGGAAAAAGAACCTATTTGGATCCTGAAAGTGGCAGATGCCGTCATGGCATAAAAAAGAAACATTTCGTGTCGTATGCTCCCTCGTTACTCGAATAGCTATGTATCCCCGCTTGTATTGTGTTTCTCCTAGACAAGTACCAGGAATCCTCGTCCTTGCTCTTTTCCAAGATGTATGAGCAACCGAGCTCAACCGCGGTTAGCTCGCCCAGTCGATTCTCCTGACATGCGATGTACATGGCAATGGTGATCGTGTACGCATTCGGGGTGAGCTGCATTAGTGCGATCCCGAAGTGATCAAGGACCGACCTGGTGAAAGGGTCGAAATGGATCAACCCCCCACCCTTGAAGATATCTTCCGAGATCGTGGCCATCCCACGTGGTGGATCCCGAGCAGAATGCACCCTATCGCAGAAAACCTCTACGCTAACAGCGAACTGGTTAACAACCCTTTGCAGCTCATCGGCAGCAAGCGCCAAGTAAATTTCTCGAGGGGGGCCCACAGGGGCATCCTCTACGGGCGAGCCTGCTCCTTCCTCGGCTCTGGTCATTGGGGGATTCATTTTGTAATTTGCAAAAGCAACAAACTGGTACCATTCAATCTTCGTACATTTTCATATGATGATGTGGAGGAAAGTTTTTCCTCCCTAGACCCAGGAAAAACCCTAACATAATACTTAAAGAACCACCAACAATGGCTCCAACCCAACGGAGAGTATTAACGGACAGTCATCGCATGGTGACTATTGAAAGCCAAAAACATTGAAGATAAAAGAAAGGACTTATCTTTACCTCTAGGAATGAGAAAGATTGGCTCATGTTCCGAATATCGAGCGAACACCACTCTGAAAGACAAAGAATCAAGATTGGCAAAAGTTTCTTGCTCTCTGAGAATGAAAATAATGCGACTTTGCCTAAAGAAAGCTTGGGGTCTTTATAGTCAAGGAAATGGCACTTTGGTTTCCTGAAATCAAACGACGTTTGGGCAGAAAACGCATATGACCGTTGATCGCGACCACGTGTCATGAATCAATGGGGAAGAGTGACCGTCACGCCTCAAGAAACTAGATTGTCATCCCTTTCTGTTTAAACGCTCAAGAGATGGCACATTTTCCCTCCTCCACATTTAATGTGCCCACACCCGCATTTAGTGCTCTGATAAGGAATGTCGTTTCAAGCGTGGCTTGCATTTAATGTGCATAGCTAGCACATATTGTGCATAAGACACGTCTGTTAGAGCAAAGGGCATTTCATTTAATACACCTGCTGTAAAAGGTGCAACGGATAACATCTGAAGAGATCGTTACCAAAAAACTCTCTCTCGTCAGTTGTGAAGTGACATGTTTGTTCGACCCCATCTCACGTCAATCACGAAGCGATATGATCCCGGCTGCGAAGCAGCATGACCATTTGTCCTAAAAAGTTGCCAAGTGAGAACAGGTCGAGAATTCCCTTAGGTCAGGATCATCACTAGCACTGGGCAACCATGACCAGGTCACTGATCCTGGGGTCGCGAATCATCCTAGGTCGCTTATAAGAATGTCCTCTCGATCTCCTTTGCAGTCAGGTTGGACCGACCAGCATCTCTTCAAACGCATCAGATCAACGCATTTATAGTTTCCAAGGTTCGATTCTCAAACCTTAAAAACTAGGGAACTTCTGTTATGCCTAAAAATGTAGGGCTGACGCAAGACTCAGTCAGTATAAAAAGTCAGAGCTTAGGTAGGCCCGCAGGCAGTCAAAAAAAGCCACTTCACATGGTGACATGAGCAGCACACTCCTGTCAGTGAGGTGGATGCGCGTTAGACCAGCCAAGAGCTATAGTGAGCCCATGTGTCCAATCCCTGCACCAAATCGCGTAAATCACTCTGGAAGGTGGGCAATGAGACATAAAAAAGGATTTGCACGGATAATCCCACCAACTCACAGATTTAGTAATGATAACCTTAATCCATCCCACTATAAATTGAGAGCTCTTCTCTCATTTAAGGGCTTAGCTACTCTCTCTAAAGAAAAGATAGTATTCTCTCTCTCTCTTGTATAATCATCTGTAAGTCAGTCCGTTGAATGTGACCTGACCTCTATCATTAATAAAAAGTCAGTGGACATATATAGGATTTGCTTCCTTAGCATCCGAACCACTTTAAACGCTGTTCTCCATTGCATTTACTCTTATTCTCACCTTCACATGTGTCTTCTGGGCCCGCTCAGCATTTCACACGTGCGTTTGGTTGGTCTCAAAATCACGTATCAACAGAATTAATTATATTCAAAAGTTAATACACACTTTGGTGTTCACAGCTACTGTGAAACATTTTAATCCAATAAGAAAAACTCCATACACTCAAAGAACAGGTACCTAAAGGCTTCAAGAATTCTGATATTACCAAAATAAATAAAAGAGACTTCCACCAACATCAACATACTAGAATACAAGTGAATTGAATAATGAACATATTATTTAGTATACCACCCTCTCATGGCTTTTGGAATTAAGGAGCACACTAGAGTGGACACAAATACGAATGAAAAATTCACCATCAGCCATTCATCATTTGTAGTAACAAATAAGGTTATTTAACTAAGCTGATTTCAATCAAAACAATCAATGAGCAAACTCAACAATCAACTTATACAGTCTAATAAGTGATCAATTTAGAGATTAAATAAAACAGGAAAGAGCTGAATAGAAATTGACACAGAGGGATTTATAGTGGTTCGACTAAGGCAGCCTACATCCACTCTTCAAGGCACACTTTAGGGTATTTCATTCATCATAAGAACAATATTACAGAGGGTATTTAAACAAGCAGATACAGGAAAGAACACACCCGATTAAACCTCACTCTCTCCCTCATTCTCCCACATATTGGTCTAATTTTATATACATACAGACTCCGTTGATCAATCACCAGCTGTACAACAAGATCTGAAAACCGTTGGAGAAGAGATGCACTAGAATCTTCTGCCATAATCGAGACCTAAGGTTGAAACAGGACCAGAGAGAGATGAGCTGCGAAGGGAGAGTTTGTTACACTGAAATGAGGATCGAGTGCCACGATAGGGCACTTAAGCTTAACAACCAAAATGACACCGTATAGGCAAAAAATATAACACTGCTTATTTTGACTAATATTGACTCCAGCGTGTCAATTGCAAGCCATGTCATCACACATCTCATAGATTAACTTTGATTAAAAGGACTGGAATGTGGATTACAGTCAATAAAACAACACGATTTAATTTATCCCATCAGGTTTTTAGTAAGACCTATCTCCAAAATAACTTCACATATTTGACTTCTTCATTAAAGGATTCATATCAATACAATTACCACTATGATGATGGCACACACCTTTGCATGGAAACTTTGACATTTGACAAGGCTCTCGTCATAAGTTGTACTCCCCGGGAGATGCATTTACTCGACAATCAACGTCTTGTTGGTTCTTGGGTAGAGAATGACGGAAGCAACTTTAAGAATTTGCGATAATTTTCTCCTTTCCCAGTAAATCTATAATTATCGAAGCTATGCATGCATCTAGCTTCAGATTTCTCTGATTCATTTTGTGAAGAAGTTCAACCACTTTTGAAGTCTCGTTATTTTGCAAGAAACCAGACATAAGCGTACCAAATATGACTACATCTGGAGCACAACCATTTTGCTCCACATCTGATAACAAATTACTTGCCATTTCTAAGTTCCCTTCTTTACAAAGCCCATCCATTAGAATGTTATATGTCACAACATCTAGAACAAAGCCTTTATTTCGCAATCTATGAAACAATTCCTAAGCCATTTTGAGTCTCCTTACTTTACACAACCCATCAATGAGACAATTGAAAGTTTTGATGTCAAGTTGAATGTTTCCATTTTTTAAAGTATGAAACAGTTCAATAGCCTCCAAAACACAACCAGTTTTGCAAAATCCATCAATGAGAATATTATACGTAATTAAATCGGGATGATCATTATTGCATTGCATCTCACCAAATAGTTTCCTTGCATGTCCGACATTACCAATCATAAAAAGGCCAGTCAGTAAGGTGCTATAAGTAACAATTGTTGGCCTAACTGCCTTTGAAGTCACTTCTCTATAAAGACTCATAGCTTCATCAACTTTACGATTCTTACTATACCAATTGATTAGAGTACTGTAGGTAACTACATTAGGTATGCATCCCTTATTCAACGTCGAAAAACCGTCCATCAAAATATTGTAGCTAAAAAATCAGGCTTATGCCCCTTACTTGCCATGGAATCAAATAGCTTTCTTGTATCGTCAATTCTACCTTCCAAGCAATAACCATTCAAAATTGTATTATAAGTAATTGTGTTGGGATGAACACCTCTATTAATCATCAGTTGGAGCAATCCATTGGCTTCGTCTATCTTTCCATTCTTACAAATTTCATCCATTACCACATTAAATGTCACTACATTAGGTTGTACACCTTCATCCAACATCTCCATAAACAATGTTTTCGCCTCCTCCCCATTAGATGTATTATACAAACCATAAATTAGAAAGCTGTAAGTAACAACGTCTGGGTTAATGCCCCTAGTCTTCATTTATGAACACAGTTCTTTTGCCTTGTCTATTAAACCATATTTGCAAAGACCATCAATAATACTAGCATAACAAACAAGATTAGGCTTACAAATGACACCAAATTCACCATTCCCATTAACCATTTCTTCAAATAACTGAAGGGCATCAGTGATATTGCCTGTTCGACACAACCCAGTAATCAAAGTCCCAAATGTAATTACGTCAGGCGTACAACCAAAAGAACCCATTTTCCTAAGCAACTCAATTGCCTTCTTAATCTTACCCTCCATACAAAGACCATTAATGAGACAAGTAAAAGTCACAGCATTTGGGTGAAAACCCCTCCTAAAAATACTCCCAAAAATAACAAAACCATCATAAACCCTACCTCTTTTGCATAAGATATTGATGACAATGTTCAAAATAATAAAATCAAACAATAGCCCAGCTGAAACGAACCTCGAGTAAAGTGAAAGGAGTTGATCATAGTGTTGTTTCTTAGTGAGTGTAGTAAAGAAAACACGAAATGATGAGATAGCAGGAGTGGGGTGCATATGAATCATGTAATCGAAGAAATAAAGAGCTTCATCAAGAGAGAAGTTACCAGATCTGCAATCCAATGGTGCTGGAATCAAGCCGAATTTTTGGCTTTGTCCAGATCTCTTGTGAGGGTTATTTGACAGAAATTTGAGATATAAGGGTTATTTTGAGAGAAAATTAATAGCGTTAATTTGAAGGTGAGAAACTAAAATTTATGAAACTATGGGTGGGAACGATAGATTCGCTAAACCTTGGGTGGAAAAATGTCGTTTACGCTTGAAGCTTAAGAAGAAAACTGATGGGGCATAAATAACACCACCCACTTTAAATGCTTAATCAAATTGTCAAATTGAATTTATGTGCGTCAAAATTGACCACAAAATGACAAAATTACATGCACTTTCCCAAATGTGGCGTGGTTCATGAATATAATTGAGCTTATATTTGAAAGTGAGGTCCTCAATCAAATCATCACCTTCATTTGCCAAAAAGTAATGTCAGTATTAAAATTTAATAAATTTTCTTTTAATAACAGGGACATGTTCGACCTTTCAATTATCACTGTACATGTAATTATATATTTTACCTTATAACGTGGAATGGAGAAGATTCCAAGAGGAGAGTACTAAACACGCTCCTCCCCATTTCAACTTGGGGATTTAATTTGCCCTCCAAACCCATCTAGTAGGGGTGAGCGGTTTCGGGTATTCTCTATTTTCTGGAGGAACCAGAACCGGAATCAGAACAGGAACCATATAGTACAGGTTCCCAAAAAAAGAAACTGGAACCAGAACCGCACAGTGCAAGTTCTTCAATTCAAGGAATCAGAACCTAAAATGCAGGTCCCGGTTCCTTTCCAGGGCACCCTGTAAAAAATCAATTACCTCCCTGTTAGTTTAAAAAATGACAGAAATATCTTAAAAGTTTACAAATACACCCCTAACAAATATACTATATGGGTTTAGGGTTTAATTATAATGTAATATTATAATTAATTAAATTGTTAATCATTTAATTAAGTATTGTAATATTGTTTATAATATAATGTTATAATTAATTAAGTAATCATATCATAAATTTATAATGTAATGTTATAATTAATAAAATTCTAATCATTTAATTAAGTATTGTGTAAATTAGTAAATTAATTACTAATGTTTATAATATAATGTCATAATCAATTAAGTAATCATTTAATTATGTAATGTTATATTAATTATATGATATCCTATAATAGTATAATGTAAGTTATAATGAAAGTAATCAACTATAAATCTAAATTTAATATTATAATTAATAAATTTCAAATCATTTAATTAATATACTAATGTTTATAATAATGTTATAATTGATTAAATATCATATATAAATATATAAGGTATGTTATAATTAATTAAAGTTTTAATCGTTTAATTAAATAATGTAATAATATAGTAAATTACTAATGTTTATAATATAATGTTATAAATTCATAACTAATTATGTAATCATTTAACATATAATGCTATAATTAGTAAGTGACATAATATAATGAATATAATAATGTTATAATTTAATTGAGTATATTATTATAAATGTAATGCTTAATTAAGTTTATAAGGAATATTATAATTAATTAAATTTCTAATCATTTAATTAAGTATTGTGCAATATTTAGTAGTAAATTAGTAATTACTAATGTTTAAAACATATATCATAACTCATAATCAATTAAGTAATCATTTAATTATGTAATGTTATAATTAATTATGTGATCCTATAATAAATGCTATAGTGAATTAAATATCAGATTATAGATCTTAATATTTATTATAATATTAAAATTTTAATCATTATTAAGTAATCTAATAAATAATAATGTAGTAATTACTAATGTTTATAATGTAATGTTATAAATTTACAACTAATTAAGTAACATTTAATATATAATATATAATTAATTAAGTGATCATATATAATGAATGTATAATGTTATAATTAATTAAGTAATTATTTACTATAATGTAATATTTAATTAATTAAATTTCTAACCATTTAATAAGTAATCATTTGTTTATAAGTAATGTCATAATTAATGTTTATAATATAATGTCATAATTAATTAAATAATCATCTAATTATGTAATGTTATAATAATTAATCAACTAATATACTATAATGAAATAGTGAAATGTACAATGAATAAGTAATTATACTATAAGTCTTTAATATAATTATATTAAATTGTTTATAATAGAATTATAATTAATTAGTAATCATTTAATTATAATATAATGTTATAATTAATTACATAATCGTACTATAATTTATAATGTAATGTGTAATTAATTAAATTTTTAATCATTTAATAAGTATTAGCTAATGTTTATGTAGTAAATTAGTAATTCTAATATTATAATATATAATCATAATCAATTAGTAATCATTTAATTATGTAATGTTTATTAATATATATAATACTTAATGTAATGTTAAGTGAATTACTATAAGTAAATACTATAATTTTTAATGTAATATTAATTAATTAAATTTTTAATCATTTAATTAAATTGTATTAATGTTATAATAAATGTTAAATATGACTAAGTAATTATTATAAATATAATGTAATGCTATAATAATTAAATTCTAATTATTTAATTAAGAATATACTAAATGTTATAACTATAAGTCAATTAATTAAGTAGTAATCAATTAATGTAATGCTACAAGTAATTATACTATAAATCAATTAGTAATGTTATAAAATTATAATTAATTAGTAATCATTTACTATAATGTAATGTATAATTGATTAAGTATGAATTTAACTAGTAATTAAATTATTAATGTTTATCAGTTTATCAATATAATTAATTAATTATTAATTTATTATAGAATAATCTAGAACTTGATAATTGAAGTAAAACTAAATATATTATACTCAATCAATATACTAGTTTATTCAAAATAATTTTTTTAATAACATTAAAAAGTAAAACTTTTAATTGGATCATAATTCCAATTATTCAATAATTAATTAAAACTTTAAATTAATGTATTATAATATATAAAGCTTTTAATATGGTGAATTTATATGTAATAAGTATACTTGTATTCGTATATTTATTTAATTAAGTTATTCTAAAACTTAACTTTTTCTATATAATTTTTTTTTTATAAAACAATAGAAACCCTCCATTGTTCACATTTCACAAAAATTTATTTGTAGTCCAGGTTCCAAAACAGATTTCAAATAGGTTCCAAAGGTTCCAATTTCAAAAAGGTTCCAAAAATCGGTTCCAAATCGGGTACCCCTACAGGTTCCAAAATGGTACCCTTTTTACAGGTTTAGTTCCGGTTCTTCACACACAAGAACCGAACCACACAGTATCGGTTCCAAAAAATTGGAACCGGAACCTACCGCACAGTAACGGTTCCGGGTAAGTTTGGTTCCGGTTCCAGTTCTAACCCGTCTTTGGTTCTACCGCTACCGTGCTCACCCCTACCCTCTAGAGATGGCAATTCTACTCGTAAATGTGGGGTTCACCCTGCCCTATCCCATATGGGGGGGGGGATCTCCAAAATAAGCAAAGATGAGGATAAAAAAATTCTCCAAAAAAGGGATGGGACAGTGACCAGGTACATAACCCCACCTACACATTATGTGTTCAATTACCCACTTAACTTTAAAAATAAAAAATAAAAAAAGATCTTATAATATAGAATTTACATTTAACTCCATTTAAATTCACATTAACCACAAAATTTTAATTAACATTTTTTTACTTTTCTTCTCTTCATTTCCTCTCATTTCTCTCTTATACTTTTCTCTTTCTTTGGTTGGATTACTCAAAAGAGGTTATCCCTTTTAAGGTTACAGAGTAAGATGTGCTCATTTTTTCCTTAAAAAAATCTTCTCTTTCAGCTTTTTTAATTGATGAAAGATCATGAGCTATAAGTTTTTATTGAGTTTAAAATTGGTTTGAAATGGAAAATTAAATTCATAGATTTTGATATAGGTTTTGATTTTATCTTGTTTAGGTGAGGTATGGGTTAATAATTATTGTTATTTTAAGTTGGTTTGATAAATTTTGGTTAGTTATTGAGTTAATTTTGAATGAGTTTAAAGAATTGATGAAACCCAGATATAGAGATATGGGGATTTGGTTTAATTCGATATATTGGTTAATTACTTTATATTAAGTTGAATTTGATGGGTTCATGGGTTTATAAGGTTAATTTTATGGGTTAGTAGAAATTGTTTGAAACGCTTAAGTTATAAGATTTGCGGCTTCTTGTTTTAGCTTTCTTAATTGATAAAAGATCATGAGCTATTGTTGGAGTTGTCGACTACTTCAGCATTAATGGGTAAGGAGACAGCACTCGGGGGTCCCGCTGCCGGTCAGCGGGCGGGTGCCCGCTCCCGGTGAGCGGGCGGGGGTCGCGGGGGCAGCGCCCGGCCCGTAAGCGGTTTTGGGCTTTTCCTTGTATAACCGCTGTAGGATTCCTTTAAGTTATTAATTCCTTTTGGGTTGGGCTTAGGAATAGGAATTCTTGTTAAACTAGTTTAATCCCTTAAACCTAGTATATAAACATACTTTTCTTTGTTATGAGTGTGAGAACAATTCATTCATTGTAAACGGAGAGGTGAGGCATATTGCAAATAATATTGACTCAGCTGGACGTAGCCTACATTGGGTGAACCAGGGTAATCGCACGTATTACATTCTTTGTTTACTGTTTGTTTTGTTAACTATATTATTTTGTTTCCTGTTGCTTCTCATTTCGTTCAGCTATAGGTTTTTGTTGAGTTTAATAAATTGGTTTGAAATTGAAAGATTAAATTCCTATATTTTGAATCCACTTACTAAAAATCCTGGCTAGTCCTGGTATGGACGGGGATAGATTCTCCCTGCTCCATACCGACCTTGCCCCTCTTAAACCTCCATATCAAATTACTAAATGAACCTTTACTATTTTATAATACAAACAAAACCTTCATATCAGTATAACCTCTATAATAATAACTTTGGGACCATAT